ATATATATATATATATATATATATATATATAATTAGATTTTTTTAATTAAAAACATTCTCAAATTTGAGAGACTAACCTTTTAAACAAACATAGATAATATTATTGTAAACATTAGTATTATTATATTGATTAATTTTGTTATTGTATAATATATCATGCATTAAGTATATGTTTAAGTGTGACACGAGTTAATCATCACGTTAGAGACAATTTTAAGAATTGATTGAATTATTTTTTTTTTCTTAAACTTAAGCATTTTGTTGTAAGATAGGTTTTTTTTTTTTAAAATGTTATCATGTATAAAAAAATTATCATATAGATTAGTCTTTACGTTAATTTTATATAAACAAGACTCGAATTTTATAAAATTCCATACAAAGAAAAAGACTTAGTAAGACCGATGTGAAAAACATTCTTTTGGGTTGGACTTCATTATTCAATTGAAAGGGAAAGGGAAAAACATTATTACCTTTGGGTTGCACAGTTCCAGCTAAAGGAGAAGTGTTACGGCAGAGTGTGGCAAAGCCTTCGACGGTGAACCTTCGACGGCGGTGAGCCTTCGAACGGCGGCGAGCCTTCGACTGTTCAAAAACTGAAAACTCTATTATCTTCTAATCACCATCAAACTGAAAAAGAACCTAGAGTAATCAAAACTAACCCCACAGAAAAACTATTATACAACATTTTTTATAGAAAAACTAAAGGAAGGAAAAAGGGAAGGGAAAGAAAAACCCAAACCAGCGAAACAGCTCCTCTTTGAGTGACTTCGCACCAGCTTTAAGCAAAGGTTTTGTTCGCACCCCTCAATCATCCCCTTTTGTAGCTTCAATCTTTGTAGGCAACCTCTGGTCCATTGAATCGAGCCTCCTAGTCCATCATCGCGAAGGAACCATGGAACTCTCTTCCAATTTCTCTCAATCCTCTCGAACCCTAGCTTCAAGGATTTCCAATTTGGGAGTGAAAACTGTGATTCACAGTTAACTGCATAGAGTTCAGTTTGTTTTAACTGAACTGTAAAATAGTTTAATTAGTTTTAGTTAAAATAAGTTTAGTTTTTTTAAGTATAATATAATTCAGTTAATTGTAGTTTCAGTTCAGTTTTGTGAATTATGCCCAACCCTAGTTAAAATAGCACTTCCTATTAAGGTTGGCTGAGGATTTCACATTTAAAAAATATACAAGTTTTCTTTGGTTCTTGATTGGAGTTCTCCTCCATATACCATGGTGTTTGTACATGACCATTTAGATCTTTTGTTAGCCACAACATTTTTAATTTGTTTCAAATTGTATTCAAAATATATCATTATGAATAAAATGACAATAAACTTCCGTATATATTTTTTTTTTCGTGAAAAACCATATTTGTAAGTGAAATCACAACAAATGAAACTTCTGAATTGAAAATATGATGTAAATATATCATATTGGTCTATTGGGTCTATCCAACCCACTAAAATCAGTCTAATTCAATTCAAAATCTACTCAATTTGATATATCATACTTAAATCAAGACATTTATATCATTTATATCAAAAACAGTTAAATCACAATTACTTTACAAAGATAGTTGAATATCCAAGACACTTATCAGAATCTTATCATCATCATCATCAACTAGACTGAGTAATATTTTAACTCTTAGTAGTTCTTCTTACTTGAATATAGCTTTTCTCAATCCTAAATTCCACATAATATAAAAAACATAATCACTCGCAACTAAAGACTTACAAGAAAAGTATTCCAAACAAAACAAAAATTCAGTATATGATTAATAAATTAAGAATATCACTTTTTTCGATTGTTTTTACTAAAATTGATAATTAAAACACTATAAAAATTGGAAAGAAAAGATTTTATAAAATAAATACAAATTTACTCTATTTTAAAATATGATCTATTTCTTAGCTCCTAAACTACTGAATGATATGATCAAATGCATGATATGATCAAATTCTGAAATAGATAAAAGTTGAAACGATCAAAGATGAAATTTAGAAAAGAAGAGCGGAAGAATGACTTGGAGAAAAGAGAAAATGTCAATGCTGGGGATGAAGTTTATCCCTTTTTTTTACTATTACTATTTAACTACTTTACAATAAACATGTGAACTTATTCCATACTGTTCCAGATTTCCGAGATGCACTCGAATGTGTTTCCTAGACATTTTTCAATTACGTAAGTACAATATCATCTCAACTTGACATATTGCAAGGAATACTATGAAAAATACTGAGAAATGAACCTATATAATGATTAGATAAGAAGAGTATGTTGGGTATCTTAGTAGAAAAGAGTGTCATTAGGAGGAATGAGCCGGACAAAACTATTCTTTCCCACCATAGCCATTATCTCTCCTTTGTCCAAATGGTAATATATGTTTCAAATGCAACTAAGCTCCAACAATTGCATCTGTGTTAATCTCATTTATTTTTAAATTAAAAACTTATTGTTCAATATAATCTTATAACTAGGATTAGTTGAAGCACGCGTCTTAAATATGTTCAGTGATTTAAAGTTAATTTTATAAAAGAAAAGAGGACCATCTCTTTCGTGATGAAAACTTATTTCAAACAAACAATTAGAGTTTAATAAATTATATCTTGTGGCATTGTAATTAGAAAATTCCATCGTAATGTGGGTTCTCTGTAAAACTACAATGTATATATATGTTCTCCATGTTTTAGATAAATATTTAACCAATTTGTTAGTAAAATGCATTTAAGTATTGAAAGAACTAGTTGAAGACATTTTGGAAGAACTTCATCATAGCTTAACAACTACCTTGAAAATCACACATTAAACCACAAATATGAGTAAAATCTAGATCTAAGGTAAATGGTTCATAAGAAATTTCAATAAATTCATTACTATTCCTGCATGAAAACTTAAATAATGTCCTCCTCAATAAAAATACATTAACTTACACATTAATTGATTTATGAAAGACATCTCATTGCTTTTTTCATCCTACTTTCACTCGGTACATGAATGTTCCAATCAATCCAACAACAATTTTACTAGTATCAACTAGATTAACATCTCATCCATGGTATAGCAAAAAGATATTACTTTTTTTTGTCAAAACATATCTTTTGACTTAGGGATAACTAACTTAGTTTATGAAAAAAAAGAACTTTATTATTTTTTTATTATTCCATATAAGTATTTATAAAAACTTATCTAATCATATCTCACGATAGATTTAACAACAAATAACATGACATCGTTAGATGTGATGCAAAGAAGAGTATGAGGACAAACTTAGAGCATTATATAGACAAGGGAAATTGAACTACGGTAAACAAATTTATGCAACCAATAGTTCAAGACTATCATGCATCGTAGTGGTCAGGATTCTGAAAAAGTTACCCATAAAATACAACTTTAATAAAATATATATGAACAACAATTTAACACCAGCAGTCACCCAATCTCGATATAAAGTCATGCAACTAGGAAATTTTCAACTCATAGCACCCACTTTTAATTATGCATTGATACTGGCTTGGTATATCCTCCACCTTTGGCTCCTTGATTGCAGGATGTCTGAGTTGTTTGATTGCAGGCATGTTAAATGGTGTATTGGTCATCGTCAAATGAAATGGCCATTAGCAGATTCTCAATCTCACATTGTGACAATTTTAAAAACATGATTCGCTTGTTCTACTTCTAGTGTGTCTTCATTCTAACCTCCGAACAACTTGAAGGAGATGGTCATGGAAACAACGATTCCAACTAATAACATTAACTGCCAACAGAAACTCATCTGATAGAGAAGTTATATCCTCTTTCTCCCATTAGACATCTAAAATAGTTTCCATACTGTGATTTGAATTTTCTGAAATTTGTTCAAGTTCATTGGATGTTACATCGGCCTCCTGCCTAAGTTGCTCGTCATCAATTCTCTCCGCAATGTCTGAAATTTGTTCAGGTTCCATGTATATTGTTACATCATTATCATGTCTGACTTGCTGGTCATCAATTATCCCCGAAGTCTCTTCTGAAGATTCATAATTCTTGTTTAAGTCTGAGTCTTGTTCAACATTCTCACGCCTTTCTGTGTATGTGTTGACCTGTTTAGATGGAGGTTGCACTTTGACTTTTATACGCCTTCCTCTGCTGTATCTATATTCCCATTCTGGTGGTGGATATTTTGCATGCAACTTATGGTATTTGTCCAGCATACCCAGCTCTATAAAGGCTTCCCCAACCATTGACACAATAGACATACTAGGTCGCATAGCAAGCTCCTCAATGTCTGCAAATATCTGCAGCAGATATCAAGAAATGAATATCCATGACGTGTTAAGTCTGAAGTAACTTCAGATAAAGTATCTTCTCATTAATATAGGGACATGTTAAGTTGACAACTATTACTCAGTAATGTTACTGAGTAAAAAGTTTAAATTGATAGAGTTGAAAATCATAATACCTCAAACATCTTCTCATGCATGCCCCTCTTATGGTAGATAGATATCATTTTATCAAAAAATCTACGAGGCAAACTTTCCATATACCGCATTAATAACTTTGTCCAAAGCTCTTCAGCTTCATCAAGTCGGTCATCGTTTACTAAAGCATTAATTAATGTAAAATAGCTTCCCATTGTCTTTCCTTGACCTTTGCTTAACATCCACTTTGTTACCTACAGTCCCACGTGTAATTTGCACAATCGGATGTTAGTTCAGAGGCTAACCCCAGATGGAATGTAGCTACAGAAGCGTCTTTAAAAGAATAGGAAACCAATAATAAATATATAAATAACATCAGAAAATACTAATTTCTGGCTGAACTTTCAGAGATATCAAAGCAATGGGTCAGTGCAACTCTAGAGAAAGAAAGAAAGCAAACAAAACAAAGAATATTTAAAGATATCATGTTACATTACTATTTTAGAAGTACCTGTATTACACGCTTCCACTCTCGTTCGTATTCTAGGGTCTTGAGCGCCTTTTTTACTGTAATTAAAGGGAACTCTAATTCCCAAGCAACATAGGAATCAAGAGCTCCATAAACTTCTTCTTTGACATTTGACAGTTCCTTAATCTGTACAAGACAAAAAAAAGTTACTATTTCAGAAATACAAAGCAACCAAGAAAAATAAGTCCAAAATTTTCTGAATTAAATAAGGTCACAACTTCCCAGAGAAAAAAAAAATGAAGCTAAAATTGACAACAAGAATGAATATAGGGTGTTGATAATCAAATAATATCTCTTATTGTAATAGATTTATTTTGTGGGCATGAACATCTCATTTAGGGGAACACACTACCATATAATCTAATCATATGTAATGAATGCAATACGCCTATACAATCATCGGTGTGCATTCTGACATGCGGATTTGTGCTCAGTACGCCTCCATTTTCTCTCTTGTAACATGGTATCAATGCAGTACCATTCTTTATGACGTGTTTTGTCACTATTTTGCTGAGTTCCCTTACGCAAAGCAAATTGGAATGCTAATTAGTCACCCCTTCCGCCATGCATAATTGTTTGCCACTTGGATTTGTAGTTGTTGTTCACTGGCTTTGTTTTACATGCGCTGCTGGCCTCGACTTCTTTTCTAGATACACTAGCCATGACTTTTTCCAGATACACATGCTCTGCTTTTATCTCAATTTTTATGTTTTTCATTTTTATTTGGGATGAAATAAATGTAACAAGACTACTTACCCTAAATAAAATAAATAAATAAAACATAAAAATTGAGATAAAGTCGGCCTAGTGAATTTGATAAAGGTCAAGACTAAGGCATGTGGGGGAAATTCGGGACCAATGGGCTTGGAAAAGCCAGGTCCAATGCATTTAGGGAAAAAGTCAGAAGAATGGACCGGATCTGGTAGACTGGTAATGGCAGGGAGAAGAATCTTTTACAGCCTCTACTGTGGCATCTGGAACCAAAGTAGAGGTTGTTGTGAGAGGATCAAGAGGTTGAAGTCGACATTGATATGCTTGAAGAGGTTGCTCTATTGAAGGTCTCAACTAATTCGTCTATGTGCATGATATTATTATTACTAGCAGTGATCAATCACCGATATTGCTCAATCACGGACGACTTGGTAATTTCCCAAAGAAAGTGTGCACTTGATAGGAAGCTAAAAGTTTATGAGAGGAGGAATAAAAGAGGAAGGAATGAAAGGCCGAACAGTATGAATAGTGTAGTACCGAATGGTAGCTGAAGAGGAGAGGAGAAGTGAGTTCAAGCCGAACGGTATGGATAGAAGAATACCGAACGGCAGTGGAAGAGGAGAAGGGAGTCAAGCCGAACGGTATGGACAGAGTAATACTGAACGGCAGTGGAAGAGGAGAAGGGAGTCAAGCCGAACAGTATGGATAGAGTAATACCGAACGGTAGAGAGTTAGAAGTCGAATGGTTTTTTTCCTGTTAGAGAAGGGCATGGGTAGGAGATACTATAAATAGTTTTTACTAGAAGGTTGTTGATTAGGTTATTATCTTTTGGGTAAAGACTGGACATTCTTGCCAGTGGAGGAAGGGAGGCTTCCTTGGGATACTTAAATGTAATTCTGTTTTCCATACTTTACAGAGTTAATAAAATACATAATCATACATTTATCTTCTGTTAATCGAGTTTTGAGGTGAGAAGAGGGAATAGATTAGGTTATCGTTATAAAGTAACCTAACAGCACTTGACCAAAGAAATTGGGCTTGTCAACGTTCAACTAGTTGACACTCGTATTGACCTGAATTTAAAGTTGTTAAATGATCAGGGAGAGCCCTAATGGATCCTATGAAAAATAGAAGGCTAGTTGACAAAATGAATTATCTACCTGTCCCTTGTCCAGATATTGCTTTTGCAATGTGCGGTAAGTCAGTTCTTGAATTCACCTAGTTGGGACCATTGAAATGCGGTTGTTCAAATTCTAAAGTAAATTAAGTGATTCCCAATAAAAGCCCTAATTATGAAGTCGAGGGGCATTATAAAATTGCTGGGTATTTTCATAATGATTGGGTTGACTCAACTAGCAACAAGGGAACCACATATGCATATTGTGTGTTGATTGGTGGCAACTTGATATCTTGGAAGAGTAAGAAACAAAATCTTGTAACAAGATCAAGTGTTGAAGCACAATATAGAGCCATGACACTAGTAACATGTTAGATTATATAGATGAAACAACTGGTCAAAGAACTCAGGTTCGAAAATACTAATCAGATGACACTCATTTGTGATACCCAAGTTGGTCTTCATATTGGTTCAAATCTAGTATTTCATTAGGATCAAACATATCAAACTTAATTGTCAATTCGTCAGAGAAAAAGATCAAGTCAAGCAATATTATGACAATATTTGTCAACTCTGCTGACCAGTCAAAAAATGTCTTTACCAAATTCCTAAGAAAGTCATGAATTGATTATATATGTAACAAATTAGGTACATAAATGACTCACATTTCACATCAAGGGGGATGTTGAGAATCAAATCATCACATTTTAAATCTTATTGTGATAAATTAAGTTTATAGGCATGAATATCTCATTGAGGGGATATAAAATACGCTCTAACCATGAGTAGCTAATGCAATAAGTCTGTATAATCATGCTTCTGTGGTGTATTCTAACACATGGCTTTATGCTGAATGTCCTCTATTTTCTCTCTTCTAATAGAGGGAGTGCCATATGAAAGGACTTACAGACTTAACAAGCTTCTCAGACTTGGAAATGGTCCCAATTTTTTTATTAGTCTTCCAAACTCGGGGATACCTTGGTCTTGGACCTTTTGCAGCACATACCTGATATTAAAAAAATGAAATTGAGGTGAGTTCACCTACTGTTCCTAGAGCTAAAACATTTGATGATAAAAGAATGCAATCTTGAAAATTTTGGTTTCCAGAATTTAATAATCATAGACCTTATCTTACCACAGTGCACCGTGTACTGGCTGGTATATTAATGATTTCAAATGTTTTAGCAATAAGTAGAGGAGAATCCATCAGTGCAAGCATCTTGAGAACCTGAAAAACTCTAAAATATAAGACACAACAATATGAGGACATAAACAATTTCTAGCACTTACAAATGGTACAACATGGTTATCAAACTTGTGAGTTGACCATTAACTCAGGTTTACATTTCTACACATAGCTTCCAAGTCAACTTAGAAGCAGACTCGATTTTGATGTAAATTTGGTGGAATCTTGAACTCGGTCAAACTGGCAATTTTGCAACCGACTTGGCAAGTTCGAAGAAAATATTTTTTAAAACCCAGAACAGTGGTTTGGTGTGTGAGAATGAAGAAAACTCACTGGTTAGGGGATTAGGGTTCCACTCTTGTTCTTCTGCTGCCCCTCACTGGTTAATCTGCGGCAGGTTGGGAGTAGAAGTTGCACGAGGTTGGGTGGAGAAAGGGAGACCACTCCTCTCTGCACTGTTTTCCTTCGTGTAAGTGGTGGGGGTGGGTGGGATTTTAATTGATCTCCATTACGAGTTTATGATTCGAATTTAGTATTGGAATTTACTAGACTTTCCTTTGAAACCTTGTTGTACAGTATTATTATTTTGTAAGCATATTAATAAATCATTTTTGCATTAAAAAATTGAGTGACTGTTTGGTGTCAGTGGGAAAATTTTGCATTGATCACGAACATAAAAGCAATTTAGTCAGTTTCTGATTCCAATTTTTGCTATTAGCAGATTCCTCATGTCCCAACTTCAGTGTTCCACAACATAATCAGTAGATTAAGGAGACAGATACATAAAAACAATACTTGTTACCAGAAAACCAGAGAAACTATTTTCCTTTATGAACCTATTTGAAATGAAACAGCTTTCTTCTATGTTAGAGCTAGGTCAAGTGGCCATTAAGCATAAAAATACATCACTTAAAAATACCATTTGCATATACTCTTGGACCTTTGCCACATATTGTTAGATGGGGCTTAAACAAGAATATCATCTTCAGGCATTACATATAACAACCAAAGTATAAATTTACCCATCTTAATAAATATTTTTCAACCACAATCATTCAACAGTCATCATTACAGCGTGCAATTGCACTGAAAATTAAACTTAAGAGATACAAGAAAATAAACTCACCAGGGCCTAATACACTTGAACACAGTGTTGTGGAACTTCGAAACTCAAAGTTTTGAACTCTTACCCTTTGCCACCATTTCAGGGAGAGAAACTAAGATTATAACTGTAAGCGAAGAACAACGAACGTGAAATACCGCTAAGGAGTTTGGGATGGATATTTTAATCGCTCGACACGAAACGACGGCGTTCTGTCACGTGCGTGTATTCAGGTCTTGGGTTAGGTAAGTTGGACAGAGCGAGTCTTCCCGAACCGATTCAATTAATAAAAAATGGGTCGAATCCCGTTTAGGTGATAAATTTTATTTATTTATTTAGTTATCAGTGTTTAGAAAAAGAAAAAGAAAATATTAATTCATGCTTGCTTATCATTATTTCAGCAGATGCATTTTTATATTTAACTATTCTTATTTTTATAAAATTTACAAATTCATTAAAATTTTAATACAGTGATTAAACGACCAGAAATACGTGGTTACTTTATTATTTTTTTCCCATCAAAGACACTACTATAAGTAAAATTTAATAAGTTTGATGATAATAAATGTGATAAAAAAATGAAGATAAAATCTGTAAAATATGTAACAAGGTTAAGAAACTGTATTTGAAACTAATTCCAATTTTCTTTTTTTGGATCCGAATGAACTTGATAAGTTGGAATAAAATCGGATCGACCCGTCAAAAGTAAGACGGGTGACCAGGCGTAGAAAGTTTACAATGCTTTTGTCCGTACCTGACCATAAAGAACCATAGCAAAAAAACAAAGCCTCATCTTCTTCTACTTCAAATCACTATGGATCTCTCATAATATTCTCTGTCAACCGAAAACCACACCAATAAAAAATATACTATGATGATAATCGAGCCTCCCATCGCCGTCCGCTTCCACGCCGGAGCCGCCGCGCCACCTCGTACTCTCTCTTAACCGTTCAATCTCTCTCTTCTCTCTCTTAACTGTTCAATCTCTCTCAATTTTTTTTCTTCCAATTGGTTCTGTTTTTAGAATGCTTTCGCTGACTCACCTTAGTGGTTGATTTTGATTCACGGAATGTCACGTTGGAGATAAAACGGTGGCGTTTGCTGTGTTTTGGACTTCTAATGGAGTAACAGTAGTTGTTATTCATTCACTCGTTGAATTGTTTTGGCTGATATTCTTTCTTTCAAGTGTTTGTTTATGTTTTCCGAATGCTTTCTGTGACTCACCTTAGCTTAGATTTTGATTGATTGAGTATGATGCTGTGAGATGTTTTAATTAAAGATGGCGGTGTTTTCGAATGTAGTAATAGTAATTATTATGTATTCGTTGATTCTTGATTCAGTAACTCTTTTTGGCAGATAATAATCGTTCAATGTGGAGTGCTGATGATGTGAACGGTGTGCGTTATGTTGCGTCGTGCCGGCTCGCATGCAGCTGTGGTTTTGATGTGCCTCGGTATGACGAGTTTGGTATCTTATGATCATTTATGACGTAGAGAAGTGTGTTTGATGGTTATGGAATGGAATTGTGGAACTTAGTTAAGTAGTTTTTGTGTTGTGGTTACAAAAGTAATGGGTAATTGTGGAAGGATGCTGCTAATGGTGAGACCTCAAATGAATTTAATTAGAATATCCAATCATGGGTTTTGTATAATTGAAAATAATTGATTTCTGCGACAGTGACTTTTGTAATAGTTACTATAAATGTCGTATTAAAGATTATTTCTTATTGGTTGACAATGAAAAATATTTATAATATAGTGCACTGTTAAACTTCACCGCCAAAATCTTTGGAATGAAACTGAACTGAAAGTACTGGTTTTATCTTATTCGCTTATTTTCAAATAATAACCACGATGTTCTCAAATATTCAATTTTTATATTTTTATCTACGATAATTTTTTGCTTTCAATTTCAAACCATTTAATTCTTGTGTTGTTGTTATCGAGATGATTGCAACTTTCTCTTTCAGTGGAATTGCTATCAAATCACTATCATTTTATCGTTCATGCTAGGATTATTATCAGAGATCAAAAGCACTACAGCCGCCCTTTATTGAGGTTCTTTTGAAATTTGCATGATTGTCAATCCAAAATGGCAGTGACAATAGTAATGCTTGAATGGGGATTGGTGTAATGTGATGTAATTGTTATAGATACCATATTAACTAGAGAGATGACCAAATTATAGTACATAAGTAACTGTAAACGTTACTCTGATTGCCGATTTTGTGAATTCTAAAACTCACTTTCTAAGAGTAATCTTTTTCTTTTTTTGAAGAATTCTTTGGTGGGGGTAGGGTATAATGGGTAGGGTTTACCATGCTTCAAACTTATAGTCATACACATGAAAATATATTTGAATGGGCAAATGTCTAGTGTTAATGGTGCCCACTATGAATTAGTCTTGTTTTTCAACTTTTTTATCGGGATTGAAAAGTTCTCTACCTCCACATTTGATGCTGAATGATATGTTAAGTATTAATATTCAGTTGGATGGACTGCTGGTCATAAATGTAAAGGGAGATATATTGTAGTTTTCTCAAGAAAGCTATTTGGGTGCATGTCTTGTAGCAATGTCAGATGCAGTTCCCTAAAGCAGCATACTTTCAAATTTTATATTTTTCTTTAATCTGCAGACATCTGCCAAAGTGTGTTGATGTATTTAGAAAGGTCTTGTTTTATCTGTGATGCTTATTTTGAAAATTTTGGCTAACTTTCATGTCTAGAAATACCAAACGTTTTTAAGGGAAATGTTTAATAAATGAATATAATTACACAGGGTAAGAAGTAAAGTATACACAGGCACTCCATTCACAAGAAGAAACAAACTTGTAAAGAGTAGAATTAGGGCATCATTGGAGAATCTGGGCTCAGCTCAGGATCCTATAAAGAAAAATGAGAAGTCATCCTATCATCCATTTGAAGAACTTGCGGTGTCGTCATCAGAGAATACTGAAGATGCAACACTTTCAGCTGCAGAAACAAGCAGAACAATTATTGAGGTACTCAGTTGTATTAACTTTGCTAATCAATAATGTAAACTTAAAGAAAGTGAAAATAAAATTTGGTAAATATTTAGGTTTTCTCATTTTAGTGCTAAATTGGGCAACAGAGAATGAATAACTTTCTGTTTGGATTAAATGATTGCTAGAAAACACCCTATGTTCCAATAAAAAATCTTTAATGTTCATATATGAAGTAATGAATGATGGTAGAAGTAGATGTCAAAACAAATAGCGAGTGTCCCCCTTTCATTTTACAAGGTTTTGTTTAGCATTACTCATTTTTCATGATGTATATAAAATTTGAAAATAAGGAAAACATCCTTTTATTTTTTAGGTTGATATTTGGGTATGAAGTTAGTTATAAGGTAAAATAAGTGAATAAATTTACTTTTGTGAGGTATTATTCATTTTTTGGACCCAGGTGTTAATTGAACTTTTGGAAAGAACCGCACCATAATTTTTTTTCTGCTTTGTTTGGACACATGGAAAGTACAGAAGTTGACAAGGTTTCTTCAAATCCTACGGAAGAATAGCTGGAAAATTTATATATGAAAAAATATTATTACAAATTTATTGGGTTTGCCAACTATAAGTCAAAATAATCAACTAAGATTGTTTTTCATAAAATTATCAATGTTATAGAAGTTTATTAAAAAGAATTGTCTTTTCATTCCAGTCAAAATCATTACACTCATCGTGCCTGAATTTATCTCTGAAACTTCACTGCCAAAACTATGTAAATATTCTATTCTATTAAATATTTTAATTATAGAAAAAATTGTTTGGTGGTAATAAACTGTGAGTCTTGGATTCTTTATCCCTAGGCTTAACTCATTTAGCTAAAACTCTGAACTGGGGGGAAGAACTATATCAAGAATAGTTGCATTTATTCTTATTATCACAACTGGATTGCTACCTAATGATGATTGCGGTATATCATTTTTAGGTTAACAGCAAAGCAACACTGATGTTCTCAAGTTTGATTAGTGATGAATTTCATGAAAATATTATTTGGCCAGATTTGCCTTATTTGACTGATGAGCATGGAAGTAAGTGAGAGCGATTGTCATTTATTATGTATTAATTTTCGTGGGCTTGGGAAGCTTTATCCACATAATTAAATTCTGAACGTATTGCAGATATATACTTTCAAGTGAAGAACGGCGAAGATGTCCTGCAGTCCCTAACAACAGAAAATAATTTTGTGGTATGGCCATGCCTATTCTGATAATGCCCTTGAATATATATTTTTTTTGTTTGAAATAGCAACAGTCAGCTGAACATTGAGTGTTCCAGCATGCAGTATATTTAGTGGAAAGCTTCATTTTACTTAAATTTCAGTGCCTGATTTTTGTGAATTAAATTTTATGTACTAGCTATTAACTAAACTTCCCTGCATTTTCTTGGTGATCATTCTATATTGTTGAAAATGTGATTTGTGAACTTTTGGGCTTCAACAATCTGTTTATTTCCTACACTACTTGCTTGTTGTGTTTCATTATACTATTTAAAGCACAAGCAATCAATCCTTTTGCATAATTTGTGTGCTACATTTTTAGCTTACTTTTCATCTTTCATTTGAGTCTCCTTTTCTGTTGCATAATTGTAAAATATGTCTCATGACATGTTATAATGTTTGGTTTATGGATTGTTTGTTCTGCATCTTGTAGCAAGTCATTGTTGGTATTAATTCCATGGAAATGATCTCCGAGATGGACTTGTCTGGTCCTTCAGAAATTGACTTTGGGATCGAAGAAATTGATGAGGAAGATTCTGAGGGTTTTGATGATAGTGATGAAGGGGATGAAGATGAAGATGAAGATGAAAATGAAGATTATGATTCGGTCTGATTATTTTTTATATTACTTTGAGGCTTATATTCATTTCTGAACTATAAACACCATCAATAGGAATTCATTATTTCTATGTTGTTGTTTGCAGGAATGGGTGGCTGCTTTCTCAGATGACGATGAGCAAGATGATGATGAAACACTTGCAGACTGGGCAAAATTGGAGACTATGCAATCTTCTCATCCAATGTACTTTGCCAAAAAGTTGGCTGAGGTAGATATCACAGTTAACATGTTGCTTATACCAATGACTTTGATTGACCTAGTGTGGGGTTTTAAGAGACCTCATTCTAAAATCCTTTATATATTAATTTTCCCTGGTTTTGTGGTATCAATTGGCTTCATTGTTATTATTATAGATTGCTTC